TGTGTGTGTGTGAGTGTGTGTGTGTGTGTGTGTGTGTGTGTCTGTCTGTCTGTCTGTCTGTCTGTCTGTCTGCCCGTCTGTCTCTCTTTTTTCCCTCCAACAATCCCCCACACTGTACTGAAAGAGCCTCAACCCTCAACTTGACCTAGAACGTGAGCACCGTCCGACCGTCTGCGTGCAATAACACATGGCAATATCACCATGAGAGGAGACTTACGACACTCAGAACTTTTGTAATAAAACCTGTACAGCAATACAATATGTCTTGAATAGAGGACGATTGTTTGAGTTTCCAAACAACAACCAAAAATTTGTTTTAATATCCAGGGATCTTGCAACTAATATATTTTTAAAAGCATCGCTATACGGCAACTCAGCATCCCCTACACGCGCGCGCCATACACACACACGCATGCACACACGCGCACACACATACACATGCTCGCAAGCACGCGCACACACACACACACACACACACACACACACACACACACACACACACACACACACACACACACACACACACATGGTATTTAAAAATAATTAATTTCCAGGTACACTCTGTCAACCCTCAGTGTCAACAAAAGCTTCACTATGGGTGTGACTGACCGTGTACATTTGGAGCTTCCTCTCGACGCGACATTGGAGGTCGTGTCTCTCAACTCTTTTGTCACGGCCTCGGGGTCAGAGAACCACAGGCGCAGTACTAGACCATGGGGTTTACCTTCGTGCTCGGTCATCCGAGGACTTACTCAAAACCAGTTCTCTAAAAGTAAAGAAGGTGCGAGCGTTAATGAAAGTTACATTCAACTTTTCTCATGAAGCACAGAGATTGCAAATTCAATTCAGACGGTGAAAGGGATGGGAGATGCAGGAGGTGATCGCTTAGGGAGTTATTTTGACAACTATTTTTCCTATCCTCAACTGCTTATCGAGTTAACCCCCCCCCCTTCAAAAAAAAAAAAACGGGTTTGAAGGCAACTCGCACAATTCGTGTCAATCAGACTCAAAGGTGTCCTCTTCTATGTCTGACAGACCCCCCCCCCCAAAAAAAAAAAATTAAAAAAAAATATTTAAAAAAATAATAATAATAAATAAATTAATTAATTAATTAATTAATTAATTAATTAATTAATAAATAAATAAATAAATAAAATATATATGGCAGGGGTTATAATTATGATTATAAATCGCCAGCTCGTAGGGGATGGTTGGAGGGCGCCGCTGGTAGGTCCTACTTCTTAACTTTCCCTCTGTTGTTTTCTTCTGTCTGTCTTACTTTTTCTCAGCACTATGATGATTATCGCGTCAATGTGCTTCTCTTTACTTAATAAACAGATAAATAAAAAATATAGATGAAATAAGATAAAAACCTGAAACTTGAGCCAGCTCGCCAGGGGAGGACAGAGACAATGGTGCATGTCAATAATGTTATGACAATATAGTTGTACTCGCTGCTTCAAATGCCTGATGTAGTGGTTAAGAGATTCGTCATGGCAAGCAGGAGACCCGAGTTTGATTCCCGGGCGGGGAGAATTTTTAGCGGGTATCTCGGTCTTTCTGCTGGGATGCCCTATCACTCCCACTCTTAGTCCGGGCGGGCCTTGATAAATATTGTCGAAGCATGCCTCCTAAAATAGTCGTAATTGTGTCGATGGGTTGTCAAAATACTATGTTGACTATATGTTGTTGTTTTTTTAAACCAAGATGTTTGCAAGTGTCAGAACCCACAAATCAGAGTCCGGAGTCCGGAGGTAATATGAAACTACACGTAGTTTGTAAAAATAACGTGTTTTATGTGTAACAAGCAAGCCCTTGTCATGATAGCCTTGTCTGTCATTGTTCGGGATGAGGTTACCGTGCCTTATATTGACCGAAATGGCCAAAAGACCCCACTTTTTAAGTGTTGAGTGTTTACGTGTTCATGTGTGTATGCGTGTGTGTGTGCGTGTGTGTGTGTGTGTTTGTTTCTTTGTGGTTTGGGAGATGGGAGTGGGGTGGGGATGAATGGGTGTGTGTGTATATTTGTA